AATGACATTTTAATATTAATTAAATTAAAAAATATATAATATTAATTAAATTAAAATATAATATTAATTAAAATAAAATATAATATTAATTAAAATACATTATAATAAAATAATTTATGATAATTATAATATTCGAATAACCTTTTATAAAATCTGTCGCGAGTTCTACTTATGACCTTTTATAAAATATATTGCGATTTTTACTAACTTATTTCATTTTATTTAATATTCAAATTTATATTATTTTATAATACTATACAATTTAAAATTTTAGATATATTAGATCATAATGTAAAAATCATTTTTATTTTAATAAAATCTTTTGTTTAATCTCAGTTTGCCATCATTTGTTTCAATTATGGTGGCAGCGATAAAAGTTTATTAATAAATGTACAAATAATTTTTAAATATTTTTTATCAGAAATTAAAATTCTTAAATTAAAATTTAATATAAACTTTAATTAAAAAATTTGGACACTTGGCAAGCTATAGATGAAAACTATTTAATTCTTGGACTAGATATGGAAATATTCAAAGATAAAAATTTCTTGGATGATATTTTCCTGAAAGCTAATGTTGATGACGAAAAATTCAGGCCAACTCCAGGCGAAAAACGATTCCCATATAACTTAGATTAAAAAGGATGAATTTGATATGTCAATATTGATAATATAATAATATAATGCTGATATGATAATATTTATGCCAAAATGCTAAAATATGATAAAATGACCAAAAGACAGTTTTAAGTTTATAATTTTCCACCTCAAGTTTATGATTTTCAAGGAGGGGAAAGTTATGGAAATTATAAAGTTAATTTAAAAAATAAAATATTTAAAGTAGATTAAAGATTTAAATAGATATTCGTAAATTTATGCTATTTAAAATATTAAAGATTTAAATAGGGATCAAACTATAATAATGCCATAATAGTAATAGTATAGATGATATTTAAAATACAATATGATATGCAAAATAAAATTTTTTAGAATAAATAGATATATTCATAAATATTGAAATTTGATAATAACAAATACTGTTCTCAAATTGTGATGACTAAATAAATAACACGATGATACAGATAATAGAAATTATGATGTATTTATCAAATCAACACGGTAATGTTATCGATACGGATGACCAAGACAACGACGACGAATCTAGTACTAAAAGATATTGATACGCTTTTTGATAACAAATTCGATAAACAACAAACCTGACGACTAATTCGCGATCCCGATAACAAATGACGACGAAATTAATTCGTTAATCGCGGAAACAAAATAGATTTTAGAGAGGGGAATTTTATATGTTAAATAAAGTGACATTTTAATATTAATTAATAAATTTAATAAATCATTATAATAATTATAAAAAATATAATTTAAAATTTATTTTAAAAAATTATAATATTATTTAAAATAAATTATAATAAAATAGTTTATAATAATTAAAATATTCGAATAACCTTTCATAAAATATAGAGTTCTACTTATGACCTTTTATATAATATATAGCGAATTCCAGTGTTGTTAAAATAGTGCGCTACTAGCGCGATACTTTTTTCAGTAGCGGTAGCTTTAGCGGGCTACCTTTTTTAGAAAATAGCGATAGCGGTAGGTCGCTACTAATTTAGAAAGTAGTGAAGTAGCGCATTTTACATAATAAATACATCTAAAAATTATTAAAATATATTTTTTATTAAATTATAATCCTTTTATTTAATTTAATATAATTTAAATTTATATTAAAAATATACATTATAAATCAATAGCATTATAAATCTAGTTATTAAAAATGTGTGAGATTGTTGAAGAGAGCTAAATTTCTTTGGAAAATGATAAAAATATAGATTATCCTTTCCCAAATTCAAAAAATACTTATCTTGAAGAAAAATTTACTACTGGATATCGGTTTCGATGCAAGATGTGGCAAATTTATCCTCAAATCATACAAGCAGCTTTAATTTGGAAAAACATAGCATGGGATATCATGTTCCCACACTGAGTATATTAATTACCAAGTTCAAAAGAATCAAGAATCTAAAATTTTGCCAACCATTGGTAGAGTATATGCAGGCATTGAGAAAAGGTCAAAATTATTGGTAGAGTATATGCAGGCATTGAGAAAAGGTCAAAACTTTATTTTTTTCTATTATACAATTATATAAAATGAATGATTTTTGATTAGCCCAAATTTAAATTGGCTTAATTACAACACAATCTATAATATTAATATATATATATAATATTAAGATAAAATTCAAAATATATAATATTAATTACCTTGTGTATAATTATTATATTTTCAAAATCTTTATTTACCATAATTTAAAGCTATTTTAATATTTTTTTAAATTTAAATTTTGAAAATTAAAAAGGTATTCTTTTTTTATAATAAATACAATCACTTTATTTAAATTAGATTTCCAGATCTGTATGATAATGATAATGTATCCTGCTATTAGTGATCTGCACCGGGCCTAATTTTTCAAGCCCAGCCCGGCCCGAAATTTTTTTTAAAAAAGTTTTGCCGGCCCTGCCAGACCTGAATTTATTTAAATATAGAAATTAATTTTCATAATTACTTAAAATAAAAGACATATGTTATATAGCGTTTAGTTTCTATAAATTTAATCAAAATTTTTTATTTTACATAAAAATTGATAAATTTAGATATATTTAATAAAATTTCCATGGTCATACCCAACCCGGCCCGAAATTTTTTTAAAAATATTAGGCCCGGCCAGAACTCGGGACTTGGGTCAGGTATGGGTCGGGCCTAACTTTGCAGATCTCTAGCTGCTATCGTTCATTCTAGTTTCAAGTTAGTATAAATTTTTAAAAAAAATACGTGGCCATACATTAATTTGAATGAATAAAGGGCAACTGGATAGGCTGATGGTAACGTTAAAAAATGTCATACCTAACCACGATACTAATACTATAGCAAGATCAAAACCGCGGCCTTCCATAGACGATTTTTTTGAAATAAATAATAATAATATTATTATTGTACCTCTAGATGCTTTTTTTAAATCTAAAAATACTCATTTAAATATTTTTGAAGATTTTTTTCATATAAAAAGTGTTTATTAAATTTAATGCTGCGTTGCCCTACGTGTTAGTGCTGAACGATTATTTAGTAAAACCTATACTTTCTGATCGTCGCTCTAGACTTGGGGATGACTGTACCAAAATGTTATTATTATAAGCAATAATAAATAAATTATATATATGTAACAAATTATAGTCATGTTTTTATACCAATATTTTATTTGTGGAAATAAAGTTACGTAAAATATATTTTTTAAAAAATCAAAACAGCGTAAAAAGTAGCTTTAGCTTTTTACTTATGACCTTTTATAAAATATATCGCGATTTTTACTAACTTATTTCATTATCTTTTTTATATACAAATTTGTATTATTTTATAATATTATATAAACTTAAAATTTTAGATATATTAAATCATATTGTAAAAATCATTTTTATTTAAATAAAATTTTCTAATCTTAGCATGCCATCATGTGTTTCCATCATGGGGGCAGGCACCCTCCTTACCACCATGTGTTTCCATCACTACCTATATTATATTTTTGTTTAAACTTTGATATCTCATGCTTTGTGATCCACTGCCATTTGTTACATCCCATTATTTGTTATTCATGGTATTTCTTATTTCGCGCCATTTGTGATTCCCATGCTACCCCCCCCCCCCCCACCCTCACGTTAATGGTGGGGCCAGGGTGTTATTCTAGTTTTTATAACTGAATATTAAAATAATTACATATTATTACCTTAATAAAATGTAGTTCATATTACTCGATATGCCACGAGGAAAATTCAGATGTAAAATGAAAAATATGTAAATACCTACTAAAATGGAAAATAGAGAAATTATAATATAGATAAAATCTGATAGAATGAATATGGAATAGGCATAAATCGACAATAAATCGAAATTAACAAAGATGAAATCGACAATTATCGATCAAATATTATTTTATATAATTCTGGAAATTCATGTGATAGTAAATTCAAAATAAAAAGAATATTAAAATAATTAATAAAATATAGATTGAATAATAAGAAATTACCGATTTAATGGTTTATAAAATACACATGAAAATGAAAATAAAAAAAGAAAAATATAAACACATAAAAAAATTATAATAAATGTAATGTAATTTAAAGAAAAACGGTTAAAATAAAAATTAAAAAAGAAGTAAAATTAATAATTAAAAAATAATAAAATCAAGAGATTCAAAATTTTAATTTAGGAGTACAATTAATCTGTAAAAAGAAGAAAATCTCAGGCGTTATTATAAAACTAAAAAAGCCTAAATAACAAATAAATAAATAGAAACAAAACGTTAATGAGATGATCCACTTATGTATTTGGAAATATTATTCTTAATCCTATCATACCTGACAGAACGATAATGTCAAATGAATAACTTATAATACAAGACAAAAATATAAAAAAATCAGAATTGGAACTAGAAAACATTATTCATTTTAATACAAATTCTTATCAATCCGTCAAATATCATTTAAAAATTTTAAAAATTAATAAAGGGGAAATGTAATATATTTAATAGAATCAAGTGTTCTATTCTAATAATTATTGTATATTTTAATTATAAATTATTACCCAATGAAAAATTAGTTCAATATTTTTATTACTCCATATGTTACAGTTTTAAATGAATCTATATCTCCTAGATGCCAGATCTTTATATATGAAGGATATTCTGCTAAATTATATCCAACACCTAAACTGACCTGAAATAGTATTTATTAAGTTAAAGGCCGATAATTTACCGTATGATGCTTTCTAACCATAATAGGATTCAGAGACTTGTCATCTCATTTTAATGATTTAATAACAATGATTCAGAAGATTTGTGATTTAACATAGCATTTATTAAAATAATATTCATTTTAATATAAACCATTATATTGTATTAACTGAGGATTTCGTTTTTTTATTGGAATAATAAATTAATCGAAAATCAATAATAACATAGAGAGGCTTATTTTTATTATTCGTGCCAAATTTTAATATTTTCTACCAAAAAATTCGAAATGTCTTTAATTCCATTTGCAAGAATGTGTAGTTGGGACCCATGGTCAATTGCACCTCAAATGCTCTACAATCAAGGAATAGGAATGGATTTAATGGAAATGGAGCGTGAAATGAAGGGATTAACCAATGCAAAATTTGGATTTTCTGAGTTGAATGTTGACAATAATCATTTTGAGGTAAAACTAGATTGCCATCATTTTAAACCAGAGGAGATGAATGTTAAAGTTAATGATAATACGTGAGCTTTTTTTAAAATATTTTTAGTTTTAAATATCATCTTAGGCTTACCATTCATGCCAAACATGAAGAAAAACAAGATGATCATGGTTATATTTCAAGAGAATTTACTAGGAAATACACATTGCCTCCAGGATGTGATCTGACCAAGTTAAAATCACAATTAACTCAAGATGGAATGCTGAGCATTGATTGCCCTAGACAAGTGGTTGAAGAAAAAGGTGTTAGAAACATACCAATTGAAAGATCATCATCTAGTCGTCAAGCTATAAAACATAATTAATTAATTTTATTAATAATTAGTAATTGTTTAATATTAACATAATTTATTTTAAATAGTATAATTAATATATCAGATTAGTAAAACTTTAGAAATAACAAATTATACAATAAAATCTTTAATAATTATATTTTAATTTAATATAGACATAACCTGGATTTGGCAAAACACTAGAATTGGATATTATAAAACATTTAACTTGTTTATTTGTATGCCCATTTGGGCTTAGGCAGATTAAACTAAATCTAAAGCTCACTTCATAAGTAATCATGCTAAAACCTTTTATAATTAATATCCTTCAAACAATAACTCAATTAGAATAGAAACACTAGTTCTTTAATTTGATCTATATTTATAGATAAACATTACTTAATTATATGGAAGTTAAATAAAAATTGTATCTTAATTAGCAAAATTTTTAGATGGTTTCCCATAATAAAAATTAAAATAACTAGAAATTTGGCAGAGCCTGCTAAGCTCTGCTTCCACCCCACATAAATTACAGATGCCACTGTCAAAATAGATATTAGTCCCATGTGTTGGGATAAAAATGCATTTGCCTAATTTTGTTTATATGAATTATAGAAAGATCATTAAATCTCAAAAAATTTGTTTAAATTATGAAGGTGCCAGAATTATCAAAAGCCCAAATTAAGCAAGTTATATTTTATGCTAGGAATAAATAAATATAAATTAACCAATTTTATTTTGGCACATCAAATTATATATTTATAAGCCAAAATTTTTGAATATACAATATATCTCAACCTTGACATTTCAACCAAGTAATATTGATTTATAGATAAAATAATTAAATTTATTTGATTATATTTGCAGTTGCACTAGTGTCTTGACAAATATTTCTTATGGCATTATTATTGATTTAAAATTTGTAGATATTTTTCTGGTCTAGAGGAGTCTGTATATATATTTTTCATGCCAAATTGGTGGCATAATTTTAGGACTTTTAAATTAGAGTGATTTAAAGTCCGCTCATTTTCAAGTTTATTTTTTTACGATTTGTTATTATTTAAAATATTTTAGTACTTTGTGTTTTATCACCCATACCTAGAGTATGGCTCTAACAGATCAATTCATGATTTAAAAATAAAACATGGTTGGCTGTATTCAAATTGAGTCTAGAACACAAATGCAGGGTCTAGTCATTTTGTTGGCCAAATTGTTTTAAATCCATTTTGACAGATAAAATAATTATTTAGTTTTTGAATTTAGTCTGAATTAAGTTTATTAAACTTTTTTTAAAATAAAATTTGTATTTCCTAGTTGGCCTTCACCACACTTAGCTAACCTATTTATTTAGTAGTTTACTCTCTTTTGTAATATTATTTTTAGTATGCAAAATTTGGTTGGTTACAAAAAAAAAGATATTGATTAATTATATTTAAAAAAATTTTAGTTGTTTGCTTCAAATAATCGAGTTTTGTAATATAATTTTTTTGTATTGTTGCGTCCAGAATTTGCTTTAAAAAAAGTTTCAAACTTTCAGAATTTTTAAATTTGATGAAATTGCATAGGTTAATGATGCTTACTACCTTAAGGTACTACTATCAAATTGGAATTTTGTTTATTTTTCATTTGGATAGGCACTACCAAATATATTTATAATATAATATATATTTGAAAAATCGTGTTAAAGCCTTTATGGCCTAGTAGGCAAGAGCAGAGCGTCACTTACTGTTCCCATGGTCGCGGGTTCGAATCCCGGGAATGGTCATGTTTTTTTCTCAATGTAACTTGGTGGTTCCATCCTTGGGGATGATATGTAGAAGGTTGGACTCGACCACGTGATTCCGTTATAATATATTAAATAATAAGGGTCTTATTACATTTTAATTTTGGTCGAAATTTAGCAAATTAGATTGATATTTAGAATATTTCCATTCATCCACTTGGTAGTAAGCATCATTAACCAATTGCATGCCTAATTTTTTAGAAATTTATTTTGGACGTGCCTTTATTTTTATACTAAAAGTGGCGTACTACTTGTTTTTTGATAGAGTTTCTAAAGTTTGCAAATTTAATTTTTGGATATTTTAGACACATCTTAATTGTATTCAACCTTGCATATAGTGCCTACTCTGAATTTCAAATATTGAATCTTCCAAAGGTTTTTTGGATTATTAATTAGCCTTAGTGTCATATCTAAAGGGTCAACATTGGGGGAGGGGGTTAAAATATAGATTGGGCGTGGGCCAGTGAATTTTTAATATTTTTTAAGCGAATTAATCAGAACAGACTTCAATTTATTAAAAATAATAGTTTTATTTCATAATATTGCAATATGTTTAATTAAAAATACTTTAAAATAAATAAAAGCTAAGAGGATGTCTTAAAAGGGTGATGATTTGCAAAGAATATATTCAAGATTGCTAAAATATTTTTTTTAAGAGGAGAAAGAGATTTTGCCTTTAATTTTGGATTAAAATTTGAAGGAATAAAAGAATTTAAATGGTTAATAAAAGAAATAATTTTTTGTGAAAAAAAACAATTTGGAAGGTATTTTTAGATAATTGAGTCATTTTTTTTAAAATAATGAAATCAAGGTTAAATTATCAGTTTTTAAAAAGGGTGAACAGAAAAGATGATTTGGGGGGAGTAATTGGGGGAATTCATTAGGGATAAATCGGGGAAGGATTGAACTGAAATATGTATATTTGGGTTGAATTTTAAAAGGAGAGATACAAAAGAGGTGTTTAAAATTTGCTTAAAAGTTTAATATGTTGTGATGAATTTTAAAAAAAGGGTACAAAAGTGACGTTTAAAAATGTTAATATTAGACATTTTGACTTTAATATATGATTAATTAATATATCGGCGAATTATTAGACACGCGGTGAAGTAAAAAAGAAAGAGAACGAGTTGATTGAACCAAATAGAGTCATGAGATGAAGACCGACGATCATATGAGATGAATTTTTTTGTAATACCAAATAAAAGGGACAGAAAAGGTGTTACAAAAAAAACAAGAATTAATTGTGCAAATAGATTATGGGAATTTAAACTCAATGATGTCTACGGAGACAAGTTGTTAATGTTGGGTCCAGATAACAATATTCGTTCAATCAATGAAACGGAGGCAAATCATTAACGTTGGGTAAAGATAACTAATATTCGATCATAAACGATGCAGCCAATGCCTACTTCAGCGAAACTATTGGGATTTTAAAAGATTTAAACCACTATACGATCAAAGATATTGGAGGGAAGAATAATTAATATCGTTTCTTCTAAAATATTATGGAATTCTGTATTATTCAGATAAAAAAAATCGAATGGGGTAAGTTAAAGAAAAAATATATTCTCTAAAAATTTGAATCATATTTGATAACTAATAATAAAATAGATTGGGATTAATGATAACTAGTAATAGATTAAAATTTATGAAACTGAATATTTGACACTATTGAGAGAAGCGATGATGTATTAGATTTCTAAAAATATGTATATTCTAAAGTCACAACGGGGTAAATAATATGGCTGTCGAATCAGCTCATTTATGGAGGGGATGTCATATTATTTAATTATTTATAAATAGTCGCCTGATTTTATATATCACGTGTAGAACTTGTTTGTCCCAAAAAAGTATAAAAGGGGCGAGATTTTATAATTGTAAATGTAATGACTTTTTGTTTTTTTGTAATGTTGGCCAATAAAATTTGGAGTTGAAAATTTATTACTTTTAGTTCTAGAGTTGTGTTTGTAAATTGTGTGAGCTATTAAATAGGGTTGAACTGGTAGAGTTTTTTATAGTTTTTAATTTTTACAGGTATAATCTATAAATATAGAACGAAATAATATAAAACGCTATGATAAAATTTGAAAACATATGATAAGTTGCGATACAATGATAAAATATATGCGATACTATTGTAAAAAAGAGTTTTGGATTAAATTCAAAATGACTGGAAAATATTATTTTATTTTAATCATATTTATTTACAGATATAACTTACATTAAAGAAATTAAGCTTAAAATCAGCCATCACCCACCTTTAAAGTAATTAAATTATATTGTAGTTCTCGGGTATAGGCTTTTTCTTTGTCCCAATCCTTCTAAATTAAAGCCTATAGAGGTTTAAGCAACATTTTTCGAAATGTTGTGCCTACAAGTACGTGCGGCTTGCCCACAAACGTGTGGAGGGCTCCTCATATTTTTATTTTTATACCCTAATTAATTTGTTCCAATTAGATGGAAATGAGGAAAACCTAGCGTAGCTCTGTTGAATCTTCAACGTTAGAGGGCAAAAGCGCTATATATCACGTATCACGTATTGTAAAAAAATTGCAAATTAGATAAAAGTGTATATGATAAATATTTCTGACGTTTTTACTATACTAAATATTTTTTAATCTTTTCTAACATCAACTTTCTAAGCACGGGGTTACCTAATACTATTAGGTAAGGATATATGAAATGTTTAAAGATTACAAGTATATAGACGAGCATAATATAATCGGAACTGCAACTTAGTTCAAAGAGTTTGAATTCCCTTTTGAGAGATGTTAATATAATAGCTGGTATTGAAAAGAAGAAAGTGATTGTGCTTAACACACTGGCCATAGCGGTAAAATTATGCAACTTTTTTACACTATTTCTTTCCACTTGATCTTGGCTTAAATTAGAATTCAAAATTGTATTCGAACAACCTCTAGTAATTGGCATAACCTTTGATTCTTTAGATTTGTCTTTTTTATAAATTAAGTACCAGGTCAGTAAGTTAAAGATCAATATGAATATGCAAGGTATCGTGATAGCCGTTATAGCAGCGAACGAATAATATATGCTGAAAAATGGTTTCAATTTTTCGTTCGTTAGAATAAAATACCTGTATTTTAAATGTTGTCTAGTTTCAACGAGATAAATACTCTTGTTGAATAGGAAAGGTAGAGATTTTATAAGTGATATTACTGTTAAGAACAACATTATGAAGCTATCCAGGTTTGATTCTTTGTTTATGAATTTAATCTTGTAAAAAATAGGAAATTCAATCGCGATAAAGCCTCTTATCGACATTACCCCCATAAACCAATGGGATAAAAACAAAAGATTGTAGAGTATAACTTGTCTAAATTTAGCTATTAACAATACTTCGAAAAGACTCATTTCTTTGTTAAAACATATTTCGGGATATTTTAAAAGCCAAAAACCTCTAAGACCGGTGCTGATGCAAACTATAAAACTTATAACATGTATCCAGACTAGGTAATATCGACTGTGAATACTGTATGATGACTTCAGCGTATTTCCGCAAGCACCTTTGGTCAAGGGTGATAAGGCCCAGAGAATCAGAATGTTCCCTACAATTCCACATGGGGTCAATAGTATCATG